AACATCCTCAAAATACGACCCAAAAATTTTTGTTTAATAATTACTAAAAACATCATGTAAATATCATAAAGTAAAACTCGTACGTCAATATCTCAAAACAATAGCAAAGTATCACGAGGAGACTGTATCAAGACTGTATCAAATCACATCTATGAAAAGCTAAAACAACTCCTAGGACAAACTAAAGTTGTGGTGTGTGCGATGCCATCAACCCGAGCTCTTCCCTTTACTTGCGAAAGTACCTGAAACCAAAACTGAAACTATAAGCACGAAGCTTAGTGAGCTCCCCCAAGCTACCACATACCATACAATAACATATAAACACATACTGGGCCTTACCTACTACCTCAGACCGAAGTCCGGAAACTGCATCGGACCGAAGTCCGGAAACTAACCAGGGCCTTGCCCTCTGCATCGACCGAAGACCGGAAACTGCATCGGACCGAAGTCCGGAACTAACTGGGACCTTGTCCCCTGCATCGGACCGAAGTACGGAACCAACTGCATCGGACCAAAGTCCGGAAACCGTCTGAGCATAACATGGCATGGCATAAACATATCAACTAGCATGAACACATAAACTACATACTGCTTCAGGTCGTAGCTCGGAACACATAACACATAAATCCTGTCTGAGCCACGAAGGCATCAAACATACTAAAAACTACATTGGACCGAAGTTTGGGAAACTACTACTAGCTAAACGGGCCAGCATTGTGGCCTTAGACTCGTTCCTACTGGAAGGAAACTCACCTCGTACACTGGCTGCTAAATGAACTTCTCTGGAACCCGTCTGCTGCTGCTCCGGTATCTTCCTGGCTACAATTTCCATAAATACATTCAATCAATTACTGATAACTGTACTGAGGGTAAAATGACTATTTTACCCCTGGTCAAAGTCAACCTCCTGGTCAAAGCCAACCTCCAGTTAACCGGACTCGCCGAGTCGGAGGAACTACTTGCCGAGTATGAGGAACTACTTGTCGGGTCTGAGGAACTACTCGTCGAGTTCTGTCGAGCAGATTCCATACAACTACATTCGAATCTGCTCTATGGTTCCTAACTCGCAGATTTGAAATCTTGGAACCATCTGAACACGTAAAGTTGCTAACTTTACGTGTTACTACGAAGGAATGAAGCCATCCTACTCAAACACAACTTTACTCGGGAAAACTCATCCGACTCGCCGAGTTGCTCATACAACTCGTCGAGTTCTAAGGCAAACTTCATCGGACTCGCCGAGTTGTTTTTCCAACTCGTCGAGTCGACGGTTAACTTCATATAACTCGCCAAGTCGTCCTGTGGACTCGCCGAGTTCATTCAGCCCTTTTTCTATACAGGTCCGATATGAGCCATGCAGCTGCTACAAATCATGGATCTAGACTTCTAGGGCATGTTTTTCACGTAAAGTAGCTAACTTTATGTGCATGCATGGCTTTAAAGGCTTCATGTGACCAAAATAAGCTCTTAAGGAGGTTCTAGGCTCAATGGGGACTTTAATCACAACCAAAACCAAAACTTTATACTTCTAGCATGCCATGAGTGTCCAGATCTGAGGTATAACCCGGCCACAAGGCCTAATCATAAGGGATTTGGGGTTTTTGGGCTTAGAAACCACAAATTAGGGACAACATAGATCTATATGATCAATAAGAAAAGTATAGAATTTAATACCAGAAAAGATGACCAATAGAGTGTGTATTCAGGATCTACTTCCTCTTCCTTGAACTCTCCAACTTTCTCCTTCTCCTTCTTACTTCAAAGATGCCTTCACAAGCAACAAACACACACATACACTCACTAAGAAAACGGCTACGGTTGATAAGGAATGCTCTGAGGGTGATGGAGGCTGAGATGGGGGCTATAAGGACGTTTAAATAGGTTGCAAACCCTAAGAATTAGGGTCTCCTCCTGATTGGCCTACTCGCTGAGTCCATGCGTGGACTCGCCGAGTAGATCACTTAAAGCCCGTATCCAACTCGACATCTACTCGGCGAGTTAGGGCTACAACTCGCCGAGTAGCTCTTCCTAAAAGAACATTTAATCAAAATAAATACATACCAAGAACGGGGCGTTACACCAAGCTTTCGGCATAATTCAAATCTTTTAAGTATTTTACATTTATATTAAATCGTGCTCATAAAAGCAATTATACGCTCATTTGATATATGTGGAAGACTCGCGGCAAAATCAACTATTTGACACACTTTAGATTTCCCTTTAAAACGACTTAAATACAAATATTACTAACCCTTAGTATTCATTCGTATTTATAAAGGTTATTCATAATAATATTTTTCTCAGATTTATCAATAATCGCAAAAGAATATTGGCTTATAGCTGATAAGAAACAACCATGTAAGATCGTATCGGAGATAGGATCCATTTGTTATATAAAGATACACAGATTGAAAAATCCACTTTAAACACCTCATATATTTAGCTTTTTTTTTTCTCAATAATTTCCGAAACCACATTCATATTGGGTTGAACTTATTTAATATTTGACTCTATTTAAGAGCCAACCCAAGTACACAACCCAAAATATTGATACCTCCGGTTTCAACTAGCGACTATATGGTCACTAATTTTCACATACCATAAAGTCCTTTATATCAATTGTGATGGATCTTAACGAAAATTTAATCCAAAACTATAATACAACTCTCGTATACAAATATATGGATCATTCAAACATGAGATTTTCAGATTCTTTCTAATAATTATGGGAATTTGGGATGAGCGGTAGAAGCATGGGCAAAGGTTGTATGGGAAAAAGAAAAAGCGGTTTTGATTTAAATAGAAAATGTGCAGAGGAATGAGGAGGCATGCTTTGTTAAAAGATGAGTTTTACCACCGCCGGCAGCTTTTCCTCAAACCTTCAAATACTTTAAAATATACTTCCCCACTTAAAAGAAAATATATATACAAAGGTTAACTTCAAACATTGTTTATATTTAGTTGTTTATAAATAAGATAAAAATTAAAAAACAAATAAAATTGTGAAATTTAGTCTAAAACTAGTTTATAAATGTTAATATTTCTTTAATATATAAAAATACAACATTTGTATTTAAAGCTATCTAGAATAATACGACCTCTCATTTTCTAAAAGATTACAATCTAAACTAGCAATTTTTAAAAAGATTGTGACATTCATCGTAGGCCACAAATATTCACTTTTGAGTGCTTTTTAGTTTTTTTAGTTATATTATATACTACTATTACCTAATATAGTATATATTAACACCAAAAGATGTATCCATCGTATGTATGGCATTATAGCTAGTGAGATGGGAACACCACATCATCTGGTGTGATGGGTGCGATAATCCTATAACCTTCGTTGCAACGGCCTCTTTTTCTTCTTCTTTTTTTTCATTGTTTTGACATTGTTCGTTATAATATTTCATTGCTTCATGTTATTAAAATAAAATAATAAAAATATGGGTAAGTGAATGGTGATCTTTTCCTAAATGAAGGAAGAATGATAGAAAAATAAAGGAACAAGGAACTAGACTACTTGGCGAAAGCTAGATATGACATTTTCTTTTTAAAAAGAAAGAACTTTAATAATTACTCTGGAATAAAATATATGGTATCTTTTAGACAAAAAAAAAATGTTACCTTTTGATTTAAAAGAGTAATTAATTACGCTACTTTGTCCGTTCAAATATATATAGTCTAAGGGGAAAGTGTAATACAACCACAAAACATGTTTTAAAATTAAAACCACATAAAAATCGTTAAACATGCACGTCTTTGGGAAATTTTGCTATGCTATGTATTATTCATTTCGTGTGCAAAATTGTCGACATATTGTTTTTTTAAAAAGGTTTCAAATTTTGTTATAACAAATTTTTTTCTTTTTATCAAATTATACATTTCTTTCCAAAAAGGAATTTAAATCATTATACTTAATAAATGAAAGTTTTTTTTTTGTCACATATTTATCTCTTATGAGTTTGATACTTGTCATTTTATGGTATTTTTGAAATAAATATGATTTATTTGTCAATTTTTGATTTGTTTTAATTTTTAAAATTAAAATCTTACTTGTATATGTAAAATATTAAAAATCATATATATAATATTAAATTGCAATAAATAGTTTTTTCTTTTTTTATTTTAAAATAGTATATTAAAAATATTTTATATTTATATTTTAATATAATATTTAATCTTTCTTTAAATCAACCCGTATAATAATATCACACCTAGTTAATAATTATTTAAATCAACCCGTATAATAATACCACACCTAGTTAATAATTAATAAAGAAACCAATTCATAATCCCACTTACGTGCCTTAAAGATTGTGACAAGTTTTTTATGCTAAGATCTACATAATATAATCAATCAAAGTATATTGAATTCTATAAAATTGACACACAATATAATATTTTGTTTGTTATATAGTTTTTTTTTTATAAGGCCTCAAACTCTATAAACGTACAATAAAATATATTTTAAAAAAATATTTATTGTTAATCATTATTAAAAAAAATTATCCTATCAAAAAGTTTAATGAGAATTAAACTTTACACCTATTGAACGTTAACATAATATTGAGTTTAATACTTTAAATGCCGATTAGATTTTATTTCGCTCAAACATTTTTATTTAACTATTCATAATTGTTCAAAATATTCCACAAATTACTAATATATATATATATATATATATATATATATATATATATATATATATATATATATATATATATATATATATATTATATATATATATATATTAATTGATTTACCGATTTAATTTCCCTTTGGTTCATGAAAAATATTAAAACTCTATTTTCCCGAAAAGCACAAACATCCCCTTCAACGTTCAGTTTCCTGTCATTGACTACCCGAAAAGCATAAACATAAAACACCCCCTTCTCGAATTTAACTTTCATACCTACGATACAACCTACAAAAACACACATTACCTTACCTTGTATGATAAGACATCTTTCATTTTAACAGGATATTTTATGGATACTATGTTCACCCTCCAACACCAACAACTCCTCTCTGATTATCAACATCATCATCATCATCGTCAATCTTTCAACTCCACCGTAAGTTCTAGCAGTTCTAGATCCTCCACCGATCATCAAACAACCACCGGCGCCGGCCATTACTACCAACCACAAGAAGAATGTTTCCCTAGTACTTTCTTCATGGAAGAAGATGATCTCTCTTCTTCTTCCTCATTGCAACAACACTACTACTCTTCTAACCAGTTACAACCCCATTTCCACCACCAGTTTTCCGCCACTCCTACTCCTACTTCCACCACAAGCACCACCACCACTCCTCCTCCACCGCCCAAGACTCATGGTTTTTCTTCTAACTCTGATCATACCAACTTTAACTACTCGTCTTCCCAGGATCATATCGCCATGGAGTTTTCGAATTCGTTCTCTGCCAACGGCTGGGCGTCGGATGTGTTATTGGAGGCTGCGCGTGCGGTGGCTGATAAGAACAGCACGCGTCTACAGCAGTTGATGTGGATGCTCAACGAGCTCAGTTCTCCCTATGGCGATGTAGATGAGAAGCTTTCTTGTTACTTTCTTCAAGCGCTTTACAGTCGGATGACGGATTCTGGTGAGTTGAATTACCGGAATTTGTCGTCGATTTCGGAGAAAGTTAGCACCTTTGAATCAACCAGAGAATTGGTGCTCAAGTTTCAAGAAGTCAGCCCATGGACGACGTTCGGACACGTTGCGTGTAACGGAGCGATCTTAGAGGCGTTAGACGGCGAGACTAAATTGCACATTGTTGATGTCAGCAACACATACTGCACACAGTGGCCGACGTTGCTGGAAGCCATCGCCACCCGGGCAGATGAAGCACCTCATCTCCGCCTCACGACGGTGATCTCCTCCAGATCGGCCGGCAGCGACGGAATAGAAAGGATAATGCGAGAAATAGGGAGTCGGATGGAAAAATTCGCCAGGTTAATGGGTGTCCCGTTTAAATTCAATGTGATACACCATACCGGCGATTTATCCGATCTGAATTTTAGTCAGTTAGCTATTCAATCTGATGAAGCTCTTGCTATAAACTTAAATGGCACGTTACGTTCTGTTAGTAATCACCGTAGGGATTATTTGATCTCGATGTTTCGGAGTATGAACCCTAAAATAGTGACGATCGTTGAAGAAGAGGCTGATTTGGAAGTGGGAATTGATGGGTTTGAATTTTTGAGAGGGTTTCAAGAATGTTTGAAATGGTTTAGGGTTTACTTCGAAGCTCTCAACGAGAGCTTTCCTCAAACGAGTAGCGAGAGATTGATGTTGGAGAGGGAGGCGGGGCGGGCTGTGATGGACTTGGTGGCATGCTCGCCGGCGAATTCCGTGGAGAGGCGGGAGACGGCTAACCGGTGGTCCAGTAGGCTTCGTGCAAGTGGTTTTGGTGGTGTTTCATATAGCGAAGAAGGGTGCGACGATGTCCGGGCACTGCTGAGGAGGTATAAGGAAGGGTGGTCAATGGCTCCGTCGGAAACGGCGGCCGGAATGTTTTTGATGCGTAAAGAAACACCGGTGGTGTGGGCTAGTGCATGGAAACCTGTATGATGATTGCGACTTCCACTAAAAGAAAATAGAAAAAGGAAAGTGGAGTGGGTGGCACGTGCATGGCATGACGAGGGTTTGCTAGCTCATCATTAATTTAATCTTGTCTGCCAAAAATTGTATTCATTTTCTTTTTATTGTTATTATGATTTTTTTTACCAAAATTTTGAAAATTTGTATCAACTTTTTATCGTAATTTCTAAATGGAAGTTTTCATGATTTGAAATTTCTGTTTTGATCAAAATTACATCTTCCATAAAAGGTTATTTAAAACAAGTGTCAAACTAGTTGACAAGTGATGTCACATAGATAATGGCACTATAAGAAATGTTGGTATTATTGGCAATGCGCAGAATTAACGGTGATATGTAATTGACACGTTATATGTCGCTGTTAATACTATGCGACGCCGCTAATAGTCTCATAATGGTGATCCGCGTGAAACGAGACGCATCCGTCCGATTTGTTTTTGATCCTAGTGTTGTGACAGAACGAAAAAAAGACGTTGTTTTTTCCCTCCATGGTGTCGCCGCAAATGCCTCTGCGTCGCCGCTAATGCTTCTTCGTCGCCGCTAAAGGTCATCACAGATAACCCCAAGTTTAGCTTTCTTTCTGTGTATCGTGTCTTCTGTGAAACTCTCCACCCGACTTAGTTCCTTCGACGCATCAAGCACCCATCCAACACCCAATCGTCGATTCTTGCTAGGAGACTTCCATCATCGCCGATTTAACCACCATCACTGTCGATTGACCGCTATCACCGCCGATTGACCACCATTACCGGCGATGTGCACCCTTATTACCGGCGACCAAACCATTCAGGTCGAATTCCTTCTTATTTTCTATTAATCTTCTGTTTTCATGGTATTTTTGGTGATGAATGTGTAGTACAATTATCATATTTTATTTGGTTGAGTGAGTATATATGTATTTGAGGTATGAAATTGTTTATGCATTTTGAGTGATTATATAGGTTTTTTCAGATTTATACAACATTGTGTATATGTTTTTCAAATTTATGTTTATGTTTAATGTAATGTATTGGCTTGAAATTGAAATTAGACATGAAATTGAGATTGGATGTTTACATTTGGTTAATGTAGTGTATGTTTTATTGTATGAAATTGAAATATGAAAGTTGTATTGTATGTTTAAAATAAAATGAAAATTGGAATTGAATGTAATTTATGATTAATAGTTTGGTGTATATAAGATGGAGTAATAAAGTTTTTAATTGTGAAGTTAAATGTTTGATAAGTTGAAGTGCTTGTATTTACATGTATGATTGTATTAGATGTTTATTATGTCTTTATTTTCTAGTTAATATGGTTTCAAAGTGCTTAATTTTGTTAGCGACTTAATGTTGGTCGTTACAACTTTAGTTAATATAGGTTATTAATAGCAACGTACTTCTAGCAATTTAATTAAATTATAGAAAAAAATTTAATTAAATTTAAAAAAATCAATAAAAAAAATAATAAAGTAATTATAGAATCAAATTAAATTAGTTTTAAAATCAAGCTAATATTAATATTAAAATAAAATAAAACTAGTTTAAAAAATTAAAGTAATATCAAAAAAGAAAATACTAAATTAATTAGAAAATCAAATTAAGTTAAATTAATTTTTAAAAAATCATTAAAAAGAATATATTAAATTAACTTTTATTTATGTTGTTTATATATATTGCGTATCTTATAATTTTGCAGGGTAACTAACTTTTATTCATATTATATTTTTATATTGTACATCTTGTAATTTTACAGGCTATAAATGAGGTTTACGTGGACGATATTCTTTATTATGATGACCGATGTTATGGGCCTTGGTCACAAAGGTGATGGAGTTGGGGATCCACCACCACCAGAAGGCTTTGGTCGCGGGCAGCATGAAGAGGATGGTAAGTTTTATTATGATATATTTATTAGCTATTTTCATTAATTTATTATAAGTTATCGTGACTAATATTTTTAATTGTATTTTTTCAGTCGAGCTTCCAAAGAAAAGAAAGGGTTTGTCAAAGAACATAGAGCTCGGAAAGTGGATACGGAAAAACAAGGGAAAGCCCGTGGATTTAGATTTCGACAGGGAGATCACATATTCCCCTATCGGAAAGCCTGTCAGTTGGTTGACACATGAAATTGGGAGGTATTTGTGGAACAACGTCCCTTTCAACGTATCTGGTTGGGACAACGTTTCCTCTGCGTTAAGGAATGCAACAGTTGTGCATCTAAAGGTAACTTGGCTAATATTTTAAGTGTAGTTGTGATTGTTATTTAATTAATTAACTTTTTTGTATTTTTAGAATAAGTTTGATTTGGATAAGGTTAAGTTGGATCCGGAGCGTGCACAATTGTTGTGGAGCATTGATTCGAGTCTTGCAAAAGTGTACAGAGACCGAAAAAGTAAAGCTCGCTCTTATTTTAAAGAAATCGGGGGGGGGGGGGGGGGGGGGGAGCATTTGTTTTGTTTATGTTTAAATAATATATATATATATATATATATATATATATATATATATATATATATATTATGCTCGCTCTTATTTTTAAAGAAATGGGGGGCGGGGGGAGCATTTGTTTTGTTTATGTTTAAATAATATATATATATATATATATATTATATTATATATATATATATATATATATATATATAAACCATTTAAATTTAACTTGTTAAATGTGTGTTTATATATTTAACAAGTTAAATGGTCAATTATATATAAAAAAAAATTTGTTTAAATGTAATAATTTTTTATACAATTTTCTTAAGATTTTTATAATTTTTTATAATATTTTTATGATATTTTTTTCCTATATGTTTTTTCTGATACAATGTTTTAATCTTTGCTTATAATTTTTTTTAAGTTTATTATACTTTCATATAATTTTAATACAAGTGTTTTTAAACCAAATATTCTATAAATTTTTTAAGTTTTTCTTACAAGTTTATAATTTTTTTTCTTTTACATCTTCATACAATTTTTTATAATATTCGTACAATTATTTCTAAACTTTCTTCTACAATATTTTTAAAATGTTTCATAGATTTTGTATGACAATTAATACTTTTTTTATAATATTTTAAAATACTTTCGTTAAATACTAATTTAAGACGTTGTATTAAAAAATAAGTTTATAAGCTTCTAATTAAAAAGTATTAAAAAGTTGTATTAATTTTAAAACATTTACATTAATATATATATATATATATATATATATATATATATATATATATATATATATATATATATATATATTTTGTTTTCTTATTCGCTACGTCATATTTTTTTTTCTTTTTTAAAAGACCCTCCATACATATTGTTACACATTTAATTTATTTAATTTTATTGTTACATACTAGTTACTTTAAAAATATTGTATATGCTTAAAAACAAGAGAAAAAAATATAAGATACTATATAAAATATTTCACAAAACAAAAACATATTTATTAGTTAAAAAGTAAAGTTTAAAATTGATCAATAGTTAAAAAGTAAACAAAAACAGATATGTCAATGGCACTAAACAACCCCCCCAATGGTATGTCACCAGAAAATTAGGCGAAGGCAGTCGAACATTTTCAATCGCTCGAATTTTTAAGGCATTCGACGTCAAACAAAGAAGTTCGTGCAAAACAACTAGTTGTAAAAAGAGGGGGTTCGAGCTCATATAGTAATGCATGTTTCAAAGAAGTAAGTTATGATATATTTAAATGTTTTATTTAAAGTATAATTAATCTAACTTTTTATGTTAAAGTATAACTAATCTAACTTTTTATCATATAGTAATGCATGTTTCAAAGAAATGGGTTGTGGTTCGGGGAAAATTAGGGAAATATTTTTTGTTTTGTTTATGTTTAAATCATATATATATATATATATATATATATATATATATATATATATATATATATATATATATATATATATATATATAACCATTTAAATTTAACTTGTTAAATGTGTGTTTATATATTTAACAAGTTAAATGGTCAATTATATACAAAAAAAAAAAAATTTTAAATGTAATAATTTTTTATACAATTTTCTTAAGACTTTTATAACTTTTTATAATATTTTTATGATATTTTTTCCTATATGTTTTTTCTGATACAATGTTTTAATCTTTGCTTATAATTTTTTTAAGTTTATTATACTTTCATATAATTTTAATACAAGTGTTTTTAAACCAAATATTCTATAAATTTTTTAAGTTTTTCTTACAAGTTTATAATTTTTTTTTCTTTTACATCTTCATACAATTTTTTATAATATTCGTACAATTATTTCTAAACTTTCTTCTACGATATTTTTAAAATGTTTCATAGATTTTGTATGACAATTAATACTTTTTTTATAATATTTTAAAATACTTTCGTTAAATACTAATTTAAGACGTTGTATTAAAAAATAAGTTTATAAGCTTCTAATTAAAAAGTATTAAAAAGTTGTATTAATTTTAAAACATTTACATTAAATATATATATATATAATATATATATATATATATATATATATATATATATATATTGTTTTCTTATTCGCTACGTCATATATTTTTTTTTCTTTTTTAAAAGACCCTCCATACATATTGTTACACATTTAATTTATTTAATTTTATTGTTACATACTAGTTACTTTAAAAATATTGTATATGCTTAAAAACAAGAGAAAAAAATATAAGATACTATATAAAATATTTCACAAAACAAAAACATATTTACTAGTTAAAAAGTAAAGTTTAAAATTGATCAATATTTAAGACATTATGAATACTCTAAGAATAATGTTTGAAATATAATAATACAAACAAATATGAAAAATAAAAATCAATATTAAAAGTGGCAAAATGACCTATCATGGTAATTAAATTATCGTTTTATTCATATTTAGACAACTTTTTTATACACATTCAACCATTTTACTTGTTAAGTGTGTTCACAAATGACTAATATTACGTGCTATAATCGGGGACAATGGTAATATGTGAACACATACAAAAA